CTATCGTCCTCGGGAAGCTCCTTGAGGCTCAGCACCTTGGCCACGGCGCGTCCCACCTGCGACAATGTTGACGTCGAGATCTTGACGTTGCCATCGCCATAGACTGTCAGGGAACGGGCATTGAAGTCGAACCCAAAGCGCGCCTCTCCACCCGCCAAGCTGTAATCGTACCAGAACCCACAACACACTGTGATCCACTGCATGCCTAGCCTCTCAATCTCGTCCCTGTGGGCTCTGGCGATAGGCCCCAGCAATGTATCTTCGCCAAATTGGATGTCTTCAATGTCACCGGCGTATCCGTTGGGCATCACATAGGGAATGCCAGCTTTGGCAGCCGCCTGGACAAGCTTGCTGTGGGTGTCTCGGGGCGCAGTGGGGGCCATGGTGATGATCAGGAATTGCTGGCCCCTGAGAGCTGCGACAGTGGTGGCCTCATCGTTGTAGTCGACCGAGGCGACTCGGACACCGTCAGGAACCTTGTTGTCGCTGTCTTTGCGGGAAATTGCTGTAACAGTGTGTCTTCCGGTGTCTAAAAGCGCCTGGGCGATGTGGGATCCAATGGTACCCCCAGCCTGGATGAGATGGTCAGTGGTGCTGTATCTCTCGATGCGGATCTAGGTTCACTTACTCCGACAATGGCAACTCTTTCGATTGTGTTTGTGAAGCCGGCGGGCTGGTCTTTGGCGTACATGGCCATGGTGGTCAGGGAACTGGTTGATTGTCGATGTTCTCGCTGGATGTGGTGCTAAATGAATTGCCCCTTTGGCTCAGGCTTGTGCTAGGAACAGGAATACTCCCAGATGACATCTATTTATGTTCTTCTCTGTGTGTCCTCCCACTGACAAAACCCGCGCCGGGCCGCCGCCGCCGCCGCACGCAAGGGTGCGAGAACGCTTCCTGATTGGCTGGTGCGGCGATAAGGAGGCTACCTCCGCAATAGCCGCAAATTAAGCCGCTCACGCAAGATATCTATGCTTTGCAAGAACTACCGGTCGCTGTGGCATAGACCATGGCAAAGTACAGGAAAGTGGGATTATTCCTGGTCCGGGGTTAGATGTGAACTGGCTATATGTGGGTGTTCAGTATATCGTATCGTCATACATAAAAAGCCGATGCCGGATCTTAACTCCGTCCGACTTGACCATCCATCCAGCTTTGGGATTCTGGGCGACTCTGGTGAGTCCGTATGCACGCTCACCAGCGTCTTCATAGGGGAAGGTCAGGGCCGAGCATAGACAAGTATGGCTCAATGAAGAATTGATCCCAGTCAATTTCCCAACTCATGTCTGTCATCGCGGAATTGGCCTCAGCTGTCGGCGGTGTCTGACCAAACCCATAACCTGCTTCGACAGCTTCCAGCTGAGCCAGTTCCTTTCGCTTCTTGGTCATGGTTAAGCCGAGGAGGTGCCGCGCCATCGACAACGCCTCCCGCGTCAGTCCGGTATCGGCAGCCTTGACAAGGTGCTCCAGGCCCTTAAACGCACTGTCAATGTGGGGAAAAGCTACCGGAGTGTCAATGGCCAACAGAATGCAGCAGTATTGGAAGACGCTGCCAATGGCGTTCCAAAACAGATGACCCTGGTCAGCTTGCCCCTTGGCTGCCTCCACTGCGGCGTTACCGCTGTTAATGACGATTTTGATGATCTCGTCCGGTATCTGGGTCTTGAGCTGGTATAGCCGTCGATAAAAGCAAAATGCAAGATCCGCCTTCGTCACAACCAGGAACGGATGGCTCACTTTGAACTCATCCAGGGCCTTGAGACGATAATATAATTCCTGCGTGGGACTAGCAGGCTGTGTGTCGTACTTCAACGCTGCGTTGGGCGAGGGGATAATGTGGGCGAGTTGTACGAACTGATCAGCCACGGACCCTGGTACGGAGATGATGGGCTGGCAAGTCACGGTCCGATATCCGACCGACGAAAGATCGTACTCATAAGACAGGATGTTATGCCCGGCCCACGAGATCCAGAAGATTCTGCGCAGACGGTCAGCACTATGGCCGATGATGGCGGCGCCTGCCATGGAGGCCATCTTCGTGATGGTGACTTCCTCGTGCAGGCCGATGGCCTCGCAGAGATGCATTTGCGTGCACGAAGCGATCCAAGCATTGCTAGGCCGGGTTGTGGCTCGCAGGTAAAAGACTCGCATGCCCCACGCAACGATGTGGTCAATGCCATGCAGACGCATGGAGGAGGGATCGTCGAGAATTGCCTTGGCGTACTGCACCAGGTCCGACTCCCGCGGGTGTCTTCGTGGGGATAGGAAGGATCCGAGGGCCGCCACGCCGGCGGCCACAGCAGCAAAGGCGGCCGCATTGCTGCCGGAACCCCGGTAATAGTCCCAGCATCGCTGCGTGTAGGTGGTAGGGTCAATCACGTCACCGATGGGACCCAGTACGGTGAAGTACACCCCCGAGAAGAAGCCAAGGTCTTCCTCCGAGATGAGGTCACCCAGAAAGCAGTGAGCGTTGGATGCTTCTTCGGGGCGGACGCCAAAGTTGTAAGCGAATGACCGCATCTTGGGAGGACTCTCGGAGCCCAGAGCCACTCCAAGGATATGTGGGAATGCCATGGCCGCTGATGCCCCAGAGTATCGAAACTTTTGCTCGTCAAAGATGCCGGGAGACGGCCCCACGGCCACGGCGGGGAGGGGAGTCTGGGCCGGCGAGTCGACTGGCTCGATCTGACCTCGGTTGAGACTTCCCTCATCGCGCTCCAGGTTTGTGCGCTTTGCTGGAGGCGGAGGATGGCCGTCGGTGTAGGCGCAATTATAGCCGTGGGTGGTGCACATCCCACAAGGATACACGGTGTCGCATTTTCGCTTGCGCTGATGACACGGGATGCATGCCTTCCTCGCCCGCCTGCGCTTGGTGATTGTCGTTGACATGACCTACTCAGGCTGCTGCAAATGTGGACCTCTACACATTGAACGAAAGCTCCATCCATCAACAGGTGGGAGGATTTCGATTCAAGGTCGGAGGCGGAAGAGACGTGTTAGCCCCATGGGGCTAGCGTGAATCGATTTAAGTATGTTATTGTATTGTACTGTAGGTTACCCGTCGTACTATATGTACACATACCGTCTGTTCACATACTGTACACATACTGTACACGTCAGTTCAGGTCTCCCTACTAGATACGACTACCAGTGTCGTGTTCCCCCATCTTAGGGTCACGCCTATCAAAATTCTGGCTGTTTCCCCTCAACGCTTTGGGCGCTGTGTCTGCGGCAGGCACTCCCAGCGTCGGTGTCATAAATTCGTTCCAAAAGGATACTTGTAGCAATCAGAGCCCAAGCCAATTCTGGACTTGACAAGTCAGTGGCCGGAATTGGCGTTGCTTGGCCTCCAGTAGGTCAGTAATCCCAACATTGGTTCTTTTTGCTGGTGGCTACACCGTAGAGAGCGTCACGGTGGTGTCACGGTGGTGACGCATTCCGGTCTGTAGGCGGACAAACGCTCCGAGTATTGTTGAAGGAGGGGGTGATCATCCGGCATGTCCTTGATTGTACTCTCAACCAGGGAACAGAACAGACCACTTGGGAATCGGGACTGCATGATAAGTGCGTATTTGTTAGATGTAATTGGCATCCCGAAAAGACACGGTTCATCATAGAAATGCATCCATTCCTATCGCTTTTCGTCTGCGACCCAACATAAAGCACTCAATCCCGAGAAAGCCCTTATGTACACGCAACTCGTGCCTGTCCTAAGCCTGTCCATTTTCCGAACTTGTCTGATCACCACTATTGCGCCCAGCATAACAGCTTCAAGGCTATGCCATCTCTGCTCAAGTCTAGTGTGTATACTTAGTCCCATCAATCTCCAGCTTGTTGCTTTTCTCAGTTCACATGGTGCCATGAGGCAGGGAATGAGCAAACACGGGAACCACGAGCCGCTTGACGACTTTGGAAGCCTTTCCGATGACCGTCTTGCTCGACCCCTCATTCCGTCGCCTCGGAACCATCGTCAGCGAGCTTCATGAGCTCTGTAGTCCAACCCGTCAATTGAGTCATGATAAGCTGCACGTATAGGCATTATTACATGGAGTAGATAGAGACGGAAACTAGGTACAGGATTAGCAGCATGCGATGGAGCCCGAAATCTGCATCGGTAATCATTGGTCCGTGTAGCGCAGCAGCCCTGTCGATTGCTGGATATTGTAGCCTGCCCTAACCAATGTCAATCAGTAGTATTTCCCAAGAGACAGACATATCTAGGCCCTTCCGCGGGCCGTTTCGCGATCTACCTTGTTTCTCCACTTGATGCAGTTCTAGCCATACCGGTGGTACTTCTAGAGCTAACGGAGAGTTCGAGGAAGGGAAGACGTGAAAGACCCTGCGGAGAAGAATGCCCAGCTTTCCAGCTTGTCAGCTGGCCTCCTTCCTGACACACAGGATCTTTCCAACCGGAGACTAGCTCTTTCAGCTTCGCCATATTCTCATCGACGATCAAAGTCCAGCCAAGCTTCCAATCCCTGGTTGCTTCTGGCCGGAATGATTGACTTCCCTCCAGACCGTCTCGCGTAAAGTGACGACACTCTGTGGTATATCTCGTATGTTCTAGAGTACAAAGTAATTTTTTAAGCACTTCCGTGACTGCCACCCCGCCTGATTAGCATACTTGACACCGGAGAACTTTGGCGGTCAAACCACTTAGGCCGGTGAGTGGGACCGAGCTAGAACAGATGGAAAGGAATGATAGATGGTGTTAAGGCGGCAAATCACTAGGCTTGCGGGAGAGGGGAGGGTTGATTCGGCTCCATACAATGGTGTCATTCACAGGAAATTGGCAAGCGATTCCTCTTTTCGTGAGTCCATTAACTACTTCCGAGATCATAGATCACTGAGTAGTTTCCCTCACCGCTCGAGAGTTTAAAAGCAGGCTACATGTGCCCTTTCAGCTCCCTCTCAGGTATGTTCTCTTCTGCAGCATTCCAACCACTGCGATATCCTTGATTTACCCCCGAAGCACCAGCGGCTCTATTGACTTTTCCACAATGGCACAATCGGAGTTCTCTCCTCGTATTTCTGTCCTGCTTATGATGGCCTTGGCCCTGGCTGTCATGGGCATAGTTCTTCCCCCAAACTTTCCGATGCCCGATAGCGTTGCCGCCGCGCCACCTTGTGGGGAGGTGGTTATCCTGGCAGGGGAAGCAGCTGGCCCAGGAAAAAAACGGTGCATTGGGGCTGGATGTCCTGTCTTATGCAGCCCACCAGTCAACGGTCCAGGAAACAACAAGAAGTCCGATGGCAAGGAATCCGGTGACAAGGAATCCGAGGAGGCGCTGTCCGAGGACCAGGAGGCTGACAAGGACTCAAGTGACAAGGACTCAAGTGGCAAGGGCTCAAGTGATGAGGACTCAGGTGACAAGGACACCAGTGACAATGAAGTGAGCGAGAAGGAATCAAGTGGCAAGCAACCTCAAGGCAAACAGTCGGGAGGCAAGAAGTCGAAGGGCAAGCAGTCCGATGCTAATGAAGATGGTGAGCAATCGATTAGCAAGCGATCCAACGCCAGGTTTGTCAGAAATCGCAAGCAACGGATTGCTCGGCAAGATAATCGCGGCCCCGCCAACAATGAGCAATCCGACGACAGCTCCAATGGCGACCGAGTGACCGACGAGCCTGTCGACAGCAGCGAGGAACCAGATGGCAGACAATCCAATCGTAAGCAGACCAATCGCAAGGGCCCCAATAGCAAGGGTTCCAACAGCAAAAACGCCGATGGTGAAGATTCCAATGGCGAGGATTTCAAGGACAACGATTCCAATACCAAGTCCAGTGCCAAGCAGTCGAACCGTAAACATGCCAGCAACAATGATTCCGACGATGAGAGTATTAATGAGGAGGGCTCAGATAACACGTCCGATAGCGTGCAGTCGGATGGCAAGCAATCGGGCGACGAGAATTCCAATGAGGATGACTCTTCCAATGACAAGAAGCCCAGTGGCAATGACTTTGACGACCAGAATTCAAACGATGGAAGTTCCAATGACGAGGATTCTGAAAGCCAGCCCAAAGGCGAGCAATCCGGTCGCAAGCAGTCAAACTGCAAACAATCCGGTCGCAAGCATGGCAAAGGCAAGCAACCCAATGATGAGAAATCCGACGTCAAGCTCACGGGAGACGGCACTCATTCAGATGAGGAGACTTCGAGCGGGAACAATGAGGATGGAGAGGTTTCAGTCGACGCCTCTGAGTTGTCCTCGCACTGATTCGGACGATGAGACCGCCCACAGAATGAACGTTTGAGTCGGCGTCTCGGGGACAAAGGGATTACTATGCAAGAGCGAACTCTGTCATAAAAGTGGCTTATGTTCTTAATGAATCAAAATACGGTAATGGATTCAGGAACTGACTCGCCAAGGGTGCGGGAAGGAAGCAATAGGAAAAGTTTTGTTTTAGGGCACAATGCTAGATGATGGTTTTGACAAAGCCGAATGCCCGTAAAAGTACTTGGTTCTAAGTTAAGCAGAGTGATATAGCGTCTGTTGTGATTATATATACCCCATTCAGGCTGAAGAACACATCACTTACATCACGACACAGATTGCGTTCGCCGCGGAGCCCAGGGAGATGTGGGAATCAGGAATCTCAGACGGCCGCAGTCGGACCTTGGACAACGGCACCGTCTGCTCCAACCACGTTAGGTATTTCCTATGCTCACAAAGAAGCCACAGTCTCAGAAAAGATGTTTCTTCCTTCTTGCCAATAATTTTGAATTTGAAGGCATACATTCCGGTCACAAGATTTCCAGCCTCGTCCCCGTCGCCAGCTTCGCGGAAACAGCGCGCCACGACACAGGTCTCGGCCCCGCGTGAGACGACCCCATGAAAAGGCGGAGCGTCGGGATAGACCCCTCGCAGAAGCTGGAAGATTGCCTGCAACCGTTGCTGTAATGCCTCAAAGTTCCTGTCCCTCGCCCCGTGCACCTGGATGTAGTAACGCCCGCGGGCGTATTCAACGATGCCGAACCGGTGATTGGGCATTGCTGCTAGAACGATCCGAGATGACTTTACTACTTACAGGTTGCATTTCGCGACTATACACTGTGGGTATATCGAAGTCACTCATAGGATTTGACTTTGCTTATATACTGTTTACATGACCCCTCGTCATCTCCATGTTGCAGGGCTGTTGGCGAGAAAACCTCTCAGCTTCGTGGCAGCAGGGGACATTTTCTTCGGCAGACAATGCAGGGGTTCCATGGTTGCCGAATTCACGAATGCACAAACAATGATATTTGTTCCTTTGTTCTTCCTAAAACAAAGATGAGTTCTCACAAGACCCGCCGACATCCTAATTCTCATGGACAAAAAGGCCATGGACATGTCGAATGACTACCATCTATCACATGGAGCCTATTCCCAAACGGGAAGTATGATTCCGCTGCAGTGCCCAGTGCCGTGAGCCCGAGCTGGAGGAACCCTGAGGGACTACAAGTAGGTACTACCTTAGTAACGTGGGCCTACTATCATGGGATCAACTGCCCTGGGACTATACACAACAGCCACAAAGCCGGAATTACTCAAAAAGGAAGCACGAGGCTATCCCGGGCCCTGGCCCTCCCGTCCCGTCATTCCTGTCATTTCCGTGGGGCTCTGTAAACTCCTCCTCGACCGTATATATTTCCATCGGATGTGCCCTCCTAGACATACGGCACCTTCCAACGTTCCAACATCACAGAGCTCTTCTACCCACCTCACCATGCCAGAGACCATTCTAGTCACCGGTGCGTCGGGATTTGTCGCCGCACATGTTATCCTAGCATTTCTCACCGCCGGCTACCACGTGCGAGGCAGCGTACGATTGCAGTCAGCCGCCGAGTCAATCAAGTCCCGTTACCCTCAATACTCGCAGCAGTTGTCGCTGGTGATTGTGCCCGACATTGCCGTGCCCGGAGCCTTTAATTATGCGTTGGTGAGTGTGTCTGGGGTCATCCACACCGCGAGCCCCTTTGTGCTCGACGTGTCTGACAACGAAAATGACCTGCTTCAGCCCGCTATCCGAGGAACGTTGAATATCGCCCACACAATTCATACATGCAACCCTAGTGTGAGGAGATTGGTGGTGACCTCCTCCTTTGCCGCGGTCCTCAACTTAGACCAAGGGTTCCGGCCAACATACCGCTACTCCGAAGCAGACTGGAATCCATGCAGCTATGAGATCGCCAGAAAACCTCCAACTCGAGCATAGCATACTGTGCATCCAAAGCATTTGCAGAAAGGCAGCTGTGGGAGTGGATGACCGAGAACCAGCCCAACTTCACCGTAACCACCACCATCTGCCCCCCGTGAAACTTTGGCCCTACGGTCGGCGTTGCGCCCAAGCTGAACAAGTCTACTGAAGTCATCATGAACCTCGTCAACGGCTGTCAGACAGAGGTGCCTGAGAATGACTTTGCCGCTTTTGCGAACGTGAAAAATCTATTCTATATAGTAAATCAGCGTATGATTTCAGATACTAAAAATAGAATATTATAATTTTTTTGGATATTTGAACAGAGAAAAGCTTCTTGATTTTTATACTACAAAAATTCAATTAATATATTTCAGATAAGGTGAGTAATAGCTTGCTAAAAATAATAATTATTTATTATCTAATTTAAATAAAAATAATTATAAAATCTAGATTAGAATATATACTAAGCTTTTTAATTTTTTTTATCTTAGTAATTTTATTTACTATAAGATAAATAGATAAAATTATAAAATAACAGATCTAAAAAGCAGAACTTTTTATAATTTATATAATTATTTTAATAAAGTATACATAAATACTATTTTAATTTTTAATATCCAAAAATCTATTTTCTAGTTATAATTAATTATTAAAATTAAAAATAGTTATCATATTCTATCTGTAGTGATATATTTAAATAATAAATAAAATAATAAGTTTATTATAATAAATTTAAAAAATAAAATTCTTTATAATTAAAATAATTTCTTAAATAAAGTATAACTATAAACTATTTTGATTTTTAATATCTAAAATCAATTTTATAATTATCATTAATTATTAAAATTAAAAATAATTATTATATTTTATCTGCAGTAATATACTTAAATAATAAATAAAATAATAAATTTAATATAATAGATGTACATAGTAGAGTTCTTTATAATTTAAATAGTCTATTAAATAAAGTATAGTTAGAAACTTTTTTAATTTTTAATATTTAAAAATCTGTTTTATGATTATAATTAATTATTAAAGTTAAAAATAGCTGCTGTATTCTGACTGTAATAATATATTTAAATAATAAATAAAATAGTAAGTTTAGTACAGCAGATCTAAAAAGTAGAGTTTTTTATAATTAAAATAATCTATTAAATAAAATATAACTATAAATTATTTTAATCTTTAATATTTTAAAATCTGTTCTATAGTTATAACTAATTAGTAAAATTAAAAATAATTATTATATTTTATCTATAGTAACGCGCCCGAATAATAAATAAGATAATAAATAAGATAATAAATAAGATAATAAATAAGATAATAAATAAGATAATAAATTTAATATAATAAATTTAAAAATAAAATTTTTTATAATTTAAATAATTTATTAAATAAAATATAACTAAAAATTATTTTAATTTTTAATATTTAAAAATCTGTTCTATAGCTATAACTAATTATTAAAATTAAAAATAGCTGCTGTATTCTGGCTGTAATAATATCTTTAAGTATTTAGTCTTAATAAATTAATAAATAATGAAAATATAAAAAAAAGTTTTTTTAGTAGAATAATAGGATTATTAATAATTAAAGTATATTTTAATATTAAATATTATCTTTATAGTAGATATCAGTTTAGTTTAATTAAAATATAATTATAGATTGTAGCAGCTTTTTTTTAGAACTATATACATTATTTATTTTATATACAATACTAAAATTATTATTATTTTGATATATAAACTATTTGTTGGGCTTCAAGGCCTCAAGAAACAATGATTCATAGATAGATAGTTGTCCTCTTTCTTTTAGCTATTTTGATATATATATAAGATTATCTTTCCAAAATAATAAAAAAAAGCAGTATCTAAGCTAAGAAAAAAAACTTAAAATATTAAAAAAAATAATATTTCTTTTATTTTACAAGCAAGATACACGCATCAAGTAGAAAACTAAAAAATAAAAATAAAAATTAATATTACAAAAAGAACAAATATAAAAAATAAAAAAAAAGAATCTATTTACTAAATATTAAAAAACGAATTAATACACGTTCACAAGCCGATATAAGAAATTAAAGATTTATTTAATATATAAAAGTTACTAAATATTTAATAGTTTTTATAGAATAGATTTATTTAGAAACTATTTCTCTAGTAGCTTTTTATAGAAATTAACAGTTCTTTATATAAAGAACTATACTTTAATATTAAAAAGAATATTCTATCTATATATTAAGAATATAAGATTAATATTCTTTTTTATACTAAAAAAATAGACTTCTAATATAGTTATATAGAACTCCCAGGTCTTATCAGCAATCGAATATAAAAAATAATATTTATTTTTAAGTAATTTTTTAGAAGCTGAAGTATTTTTCATATCTGATAGTATTATAAGATCAAAGATATTAATAAAACTTTTTTTATATTAGATATCAGTTAACAACCCAGTTGTATAACTTTAAAATATTAATTTTATTATTTATAAAGAATATTAATATTATAAAAGTATTATTCTTTTTGTTAAATAACAGGTATATAAATTTCTTATTAGAATTAGAGTTGTTGTATTTTTTGGCTTTATTTCTTATTTTTTTAATCCGTGCGAACTTTCTTGTCAAGAATATTAGAGAACTTTTTTATATTTTTAATATATTAGAAAAAGGTTTTACTAGCAGAAATAATATAATTCTTTATCTTAATTAAAGTGGCTAACAGCCAGGTCAGGTCAGGTTAATTAGAAATTTTATATCTAACCGCCAGGTTATGGCTAGGTTAAAAAAATTTTTGAATCTGATTATAGTATAGCTAAAAAATAGATAATTAACTATTTTAACTATTATATAAAAATATATATAATAAAGCTTTTTAAATTAGAAAAAAATAATTAGAAAAAATATTAGTATCTTTTTTATTTCTATATCTAAGAATTAATAAGAAAATTCTGATAAAATTAATAAAATTTAGCTTTTTTAAAACTTATTATTATTATAATAAGAAATATATATAAAAATATATAATTATAATTTTATTTAGACTATATATTTTAATAATAATTTATAATATTAGAAAAACTATATATTTCCTACTAATTAAACTATTAATAATAAATATATTACTATTATTTTACTATTCTTTATCTAAATTAAGCTTAGATAGTTTGTTATATTTTTATTTTTTATTTAAAAAAACTGGATTATTTATTTTATAAATTAAAATTTCTAACAGGAAATCTGTACTATATTATTTATTTAGTTATTTTTAATAATTATATTTTTTAATTTTATTTTATTTAGGGTTTACATTAGGGTTAGGGTT